TCGCTAGCGCTTTCCCGGAACGCGAGCTATACGTGATCTCGGTTCGATCCGCCCGATATTACGCGACCACCACGCGCTTCCTTATAAAAACCTACCTGAACAATGTCTTCAAACAACGTCCGTTGCTGCTCCGACTATATGGACTATACCAGTCTTCAACACAAAACCAGCAATGTTTTTTAAGAAAGCGATGTTGTAGTTTTAGTTTGTTCCGCTGTAAAAGCGTTAAAACTGTCCGGTGGCACGCTGCAGGTATCTTTGAGTAAAAAAAGAAAATTAAAAAATAAGACAAGTGTAGGGCCTTATGCGTGACGCACTCCAGTACTGTGGGAATTGTGGGAACCGTCTGCAGAGCATGGGAGTCCGTGGGAGAGAGTGTGTGGAGTATGTGGCGAGGAGAACTATGAGCCTTGGTGATTACACATCGCAGACTAGAATAAGGACCATAAGGGCACCCTTAAGGGACTTCTGGGCAAGCCTTTCACTAAAGATTCTTCAAGGTTTTGGCCTCCATCAATAATAAATTCTGTTTATAGTATTGTAAGTGTTATTAATATATTTCTTTATGTATCTATCAAGTTTTCCGCAGTTGTCAGCATGTACACTTGTATAGCTATTACTAACTTATGTGATCACGACAGTTAGTGACGCTCTGTTAACACAGCCGTTATGTTGTAAAACTAATCTGATATCTTGTCGACGTTTGTAAGTCGCTGACACATTACGCCAATTGAAGATTGCTTAATCTTTTGGTTATTTAGGAAACTGACAAAAAACAGAAAATAGATGCTGTCAAAAACCATATCAAAATTTTAAAAAGGTTCCGACGCAAATCGTTTGCCACTTAATTTCTACACCCTGAAGATTACAAAGGCATTAGACAAACACGACGGTCCGTCTAAATACCTCTCAGTCTATCCAAAAAACAAAGTCTCTCAAACGCACATCACTTTTTTCCTTCACCAATTAGCTAGCATGTAGGTGGTCCATCAGTCCAACACCAATATTTGCGATATATTTTACAAATCGTCAGTACATCGCACCTTGTAATTAGCTTGCCGAAACTTAACTAAAGTTTTTGCTAGAGTTGGGCCAACGTTGGTTGTGCTGTCACTGAAGTAGCTTGTTACTGCTATGTCCAAGGTGTTAAGGTTGTTTTTTGAACATAATGTTTGTCAAGAGAAGGTAGCATTCGTATTCATAATTAGGAGTGATCCACGTCGGCGTCTTTTCAAGTCCAAATCGTTTTTGATGGTCCACGGGGCGGGTCTTCTGGTCCTCTGTTTGATTTGGTCCTTGCCGCTTGTGTTTTTTAACAAATTAGCGCCGATTTGTTCCCGACGGGGGTCTATTTCGCTCGTGATGACTTTTTTGATGATGATTGCCCGTTTTTCATATTATTTGTGTGGTCCTGTCGTTGTTGTTTGTTTTTGATCGAGGAGAAGCTGATCTAATTTACATTAAAGACACCTGTAACGAATAGCACATAACTTAGACTTAAATTACAGTTACCGTATCAATAGCAGGATACATCCCGGGCAGTGCGGCGTGTGTTGCCCGGGCAGCGCGGGCCCGGCTCGCAGGACGCGTGTCGACTGCATCATTAGATAAATAAACCTGACATTAATATAACACGCGCTTAGCATTCACAGCGTTAAGATGACTGGCCAGGGAAGTCGCAATTTCCTCAGGCCGACATCTAAATCACTACCGGCCTCATCACCACCGGTCGGCTGGGAAGCTCCAAGAATCGTAGGTGAACAATGGTCGTCGTGATGACGTCACCTCCGTTTCCGCTCAGCTGACCGTCCGTCCGTCTGTCACGTAGCAGTGAAAGTCAAAGCATTACTCATGGCCCTCATACGCCGATACATGCGTTTGATTGTCACTTGCCTCTATGAATGGGTGCCATACTGCCATATTACCACCGCGCGCCACCCGCTATACGTTTCGGCTCCGAGCTCCATGCATCCCATTATAAGTTATAGCTTATTTAATTCAGTATTCATTACTACTATTAGAGGTACTACTTATTTACGCTTATTGCCCTTTCAACAAAAATAGGACTAAACTATAGACAATCTACCATCTAGAAACTTCAAAAATCAGAATTAGATCTACAAAAGCAATGATTAATTCATCAAGTAAATATAGTAAATACCTAATAAATGAATTGAGAGACAAGCCACACGTTTTCATAATTCATCGAAACTGATTGATTTGTACAGAAATAGCAGCAATCGATGATATAGTGCAAGGTTGTGCTACGGAAATTCGCCATGTTGCGGGTTTTGGAGCACGGTTGGTCAAACGTCAACTAACAACACAGACATATTACTGCAATGCATAACTTAAGGTTTATCAAAGTAAAATACGTAATGCGTGTGACGAGTTCACTAATGTCAGAAAAATATTTCATTTTATTTAGTTGCTACAACAACTAGACAGAAAAGTTGACTTGACTCTCAGGTTCCTGAAGAAAAATAACTTTAGAGTCTATATCTTAGGGTAAACTGTGGTGAATAGGGATCGAGAGATGAATAAGGACATACGACGGGTGAATCAATACTCTGAAGAAGTTCCCAAAATCGATTCACACTCTTCTGTCCCTATTCACCCCATTTTACGATACCTTCTTAAGTTATTAATCTTGTAACTAACGCCAAAGAATTAATCACAACATACAGACTACAACATTCAGGTTAAACAGAATCAGCTCTGTAACACCAACAATCCAACATACAAAGTACTTTCTCCAAATTACACAGTAAAGGGTTAGCAGACGGGAATTAGGTCAGAGTGCGTGGGATTATAATATTACTCCTATATGGGCTTAGAAGTGGATACCCTTCTATAAATAGAAGATTCTAGAATCCTACAAATAAATAACCCTATTTCATTGAATCAGATTTAAGAAAAAGATGTATTAATAGATGTGTTTCCGAATCCCGGAATGATTGTTGTGGTTGCCACATCCACCGTTGCTAGCTCGGGCTGAGTCTCAAGCTCTGGTTTCCATATAAGGTAGGAAGCAACTGGCATGTAAGTATAGTTAAAAGTAGCTCCCATTGTTAGCAGTGATGCTCCATACCGCTAGCGCTTGTTACTTGCTCTCATTTCGAGTAGAAATTTAAAACCCCAAAGTATTGTCTATTAGTTTATTTGTAAGGACTGAATAATATACTCCTTCTAAAATATACTTACTTTAACATTCCTAGTAGAAAAAGCCTTTTTATTTCACGTAGTACTTGTAGGTCAATTATACTCAAGTATAAATAACACTCACTACGTTATCTTTATCATAAAATGAATTGGCGCAAACCTACATATTTTCAAAGAACTAAAAATCACGAATGTCTATGTTATTATACTTACTCATAACTAAAAACCTAACCCGCTAATACTTATAACTTGCGTCACGCAAGCGTGGCGGAACAGTGAGTCATGCGCGAGAGCGTCTGGCGAGGCAGACGCGCGCTGTACTCTGTAGTAATCGTGCCTTGAATCCGCGCTTGCGCCGGACAAACACATTCCTTTACGAAATGTACCTGACATTACTCCTCTGTAAATTATACCTACCTTGACTTCAAACCCACACATTTCAATTTCCAATTAATAGCTAAATCTATTACGTTAAATATGAAATCACTGTCAACTTTAGGTTCCTAGAAATTCCTTTCTATAGACCAAAAATGATCACCTACCAAATAAAACCCTAAGCACCTTACAAATGACAATGAAAAATTGAAAGTTTAAACTAATGTGGTGTTTCAGTGTTTGCCGTCCAATTCGCACTAACCAGTTATGTCGCTTTATTACTGCCGCATAGTCCAAACACAGATCCAATAAAGGAGGTTTGGATCACAGAGGCCGCCACCGGGCCCCATACAATGACATTATATGTTCGTTCTGAGAAGGTCTCCCCGTACGTGCGTGCGTAGGTCCCCGTCGCTAGTTACCTCACACGTGCGAATTTCTGCCCTTCACACCACAATGTACCAGGAATGCGGCAAAGGGTTCTTTGTTTGAAATTATTAAGATTTTGTACAAGTGGAAATTGCCATTCATCAAGTATTTTCTTTTTCTTATATGGTACTAATTTCAATATTATTATGGCACGTTTCCATACCGAAAAGGGTTAGAAAAATAAAACCAACAGCAACCTTTACCTCTTGGGCCCGATAGGTATGCGTGAATCAGTGCGCTCGCGCTGCTAAAACGACTGCGATCACAAGGGATGCCGCGCCGATGACTTGACTAGCCACTACTGTTGCCAGAGCCATTTTTGGATCGATCGCGACTTGCGTGCACTTCCTACACTAGTCCATTCATTATGATAGGTCAGGCTTATAGCGTCGCATGACTACCAGATTGACTCAAAACCGAGCGTTAATCAGCATCGTTCTAGGTACTGAGATTTGGGTCATGGAAGTTTTAGGATCCCTGACTCAATATTCTGCTACAGTTTAATTGAAATACATTTAGGAATCGCAATATGATTCTTATAGGCTGAGCCGTTGGTGTACCCAAACGGAGAACAATGGTCGTCCTTCTGCCGGCGGAGGTGAGCACAAGGTCGCTGGTTATGGACAATCATTATAAGTGGAATATATTAGCAGCTCGGAAGTCAGCCCGTTTTCTAATCTTTGCGAATTAGTATGCAGAGACAATCGGTTAGCGCGTGCCGATATTGTAACAGTATACTTTTTGTTAGTCATAGTTACTTCAATACATGGCCATAAACGCTGGTGGAATATTTTCGGTGGCACCTTAGAAATTATAGATTATGATCTCTTTGACATAGCGGCTCTTGAACATTCACTTTATTGTTCTCCTCGATCATCATACTAGCAAGTCTACTTTAGTCTCAATTTTATATGACTTACGTAAAGTCTAAGTTTAGTCGTCTTGATAAAGTTAAAATAGATCACTCATTCTACTGTAGTTTTATACATATCGTTGTTATCCTATCATCACTTACCTATGTTCTTCTTCCACAGTGCGAGGAGTCGATGTCAGCGGGAGACATGTGTGTGTCGGCTGCTCGTGCTGGACCCTCAGCGCGCTGGCACCCCGCCTGCTTCGTCTGCTCCTCCTGCCAGGAGCTGCTGGTGGACCTGGTCTACTTCTGGAAGGACGGCCGCCTCTACTGCGGGAGACATCACGCCGAGACACTCAAGCCCAGGTGCTCGGCCTGCGATGAAGTAAGAAACATTAATTTTTTAGAACACGTTCAATAGGATACTCGTTAACAGTACTTTGATGTAAGTACTTGCAAGTGCGATGTTACTTCCAACTAAATGAACAATTACTTGAGTTCCCTCGTTTAACTTTCAAATCAAAACAATTACAACGTACGCATTATTATTCAAAACAAATTGCTCCATCTTATCTTTAATTTACCACAAAACGGCCCATTACTTGATTCCCTTCAACCTGCAACATTATCATAAAATCGCGAGGCGGCGCGTGCGCCGGCCGCTGACGCAATTGTGCGTGCAGTTGGCAATATCCGCCCAACGGACCGGAAATAGATAGTATCGGGGTGGGGGGATGCACATCCCCTGTGTTATTCAGACATTTCACGGTGGACGCGTCCATCGCGGAATTTATACTGATCAGCCATATGGCCGTGTCCAATTGTTCGGTGGAATTATGCAAAGTGCGGCGGTGTAACTCTTTCCATCGCCTCTTTTATTTATTGTTGACTTAATAAATACATGTAACAACTGTTTCATGTACAGGTGACACAGCTTTCGTTACCACTGAAGATTTAGAGCTGTGCCACCACATCTAAGGCGTCAGGGCACGTACCTATGTAACTGTACCAGACACTATCACAATTTTGTCTGTCAGTGTTACTCACCAAGAGTAGAAATATTTTTCCACTCACCTCAATTCCACCAAAATCAGACTACAAGTATCAGGTGAAATTAATTTATCACCTTTTACGTTCCGCAAAGGGAATCACCGCGGGCAATCACACGAGTACAATACAGAGATGGAGATAGCAAACAATGTAACAAGTAACAACCGAGGTGAACCAATACTTACTTAGTATTCGAGTGTCGACCGCCGTCCTCAACGAGTCCACCTGAAGGGTGCAACGACCCCTGCCAGACGGCCAATCAAACAATTACACAGGGCACCCCAAGATTATGCGCTGTGATAATCACCCAGTATTGTAAACCTTTTCTGGGTGGTTACCCCTGCTAAAGGAGTTTGGATCACGAAGGGATTTCATTATTTTCATTAGTCCGATACATTTCACCGCTTGATCTTCAGTTGGATCGTAGTCAAAAACTGTCTGCGGCAAAATTGGACATGCGAGATGCGACGTACCACCTCAATTCTAATGATTAATAATAAATCCACAAAGTGGGATGTAGAACACAAGTTTTGTCGTGACATTTTTGTTTCGTCAGCATTTAAAAGCTATGAAAATATTTATAAAGCTCATTAGCGTGGCGCTTGACCGGCACGGTACCAACGCTGGCAACCCATCGTCTGCGGCGGAAGCGGTCCGAGAGACCCTCCACCCGATACAACATCTAGGTCGAGGGTAGGAAACATTAGGGGCACACCGCCGGCTCTGATCTCACGATAACGACTGCTAAGAGGCCGGTAAGTAAACTCTGATTGGGGTCGAACTACTTTTACCTATGAAAAGCAAATATGGGTCACTGAGATTAAATTGCTTATATTTCTAATCTCAAACATGTATAAATAATAAGTTATTTTTTATTAGAGAGCTATAAGTCGTTATTCTCGTTAGATATGCTCCTATTTCTGGCCAGGTATTGAAATATGAAAATGTTTAACTCAAAACGTAAAATAAATTGCAAAAGATAAGGAAACAGTAAAAGTAGCATGTTTGATAATAACCGAGTGCTGTCCATGGGAGACTAACCTGATGTCTTCATTAGACACGTCGCTCCGGTCGCCCGGTCGCCCGGTCTCTCTCCCACCAGTAATTAGTGCAAATTATACGCCTGTGTAATTACAAGTGATGCGGCCATAGCAGATTGGGTCATAAAACTGAACATTATACTGAACCCGATGATAGATATTAAAAAATAATATGTTGGTTTGTTGTCTGGGGAATTTCGCCCTACTGTTATGCATGTGGCGGAATACTATTACACTTTATGTTTGAATAAAACTATTGGTTTCGTTTTACTTCGGTACATTAAAGCGGTCATAGAAACAATATTGCTCTACAATTTAATGGCTAATTAAAAGTCCGAGCCCAAGTCAGACACGTGGATGCCGCGGCTACCACGAGTAATGGACGCTGAAAGCTGTAAAAGGCTGAAATGTAAAGGTTGATCACGTGACATTTCACGGCTGAAGAAACTCGTCGCCAGCCGCTAATGAGCCTTAAATACTTAACATAGCACAACTAATAGGCCCCGTAAAACACCATTGATTAATACCCAGCGAAGTGACCCCACGGAGAAACTTTGTAATTACAGATCAAACACTAAGATAACGAAATAATCTAGAAATACTTTATGGCTATTAATTGTTTCTCATGTTAGTTATTCCCGCCGACCGCCATAATTTATTTATTAAAAATACCTGCGTGCTGCTTTATCGCGATCAGTTAAAAACTTTTATTTATTCTGTCGATACGACCACTGAAAACTCGTGACATATTTGTGTTAAAAAAACAATGAAAATTTTTGGGTTAAAAAGCGTAGTTTTATCGCCGGCGCCATTAAAATGTTGGATTTATTTATTTTATTTCTCGTTTAATTGGTCGTCACGAATTGTGCTCGAAACCGAAGAAATTAAATTCTTTTACTTTGTAATGGTACAAGATTTTATTTTTATAAAAATGTCGACAAAATTTTAGTTGTCATTTACATAAATAATATTTCCAAATGGTCTTATTTCATGTTACATCAAATATTTTCATCCGAAATAAGTAAAGTTTTGTAGAAAATATTTTATTTGCTTTAAGTTTTATAATTATTCGTCACGAGATGGCGCGGAATATCATGAATACTTTACGCTAATTAACTGTACAATACAAGTCACAATTTTCATGTCTACATTTTGGACAATCTAAACAGCCTAGGTGGGTCCTAATCTAGGATTAGATTAGGAACATTGGAACTAATTAATTATTGCCTAGAATTTCTTATCTCAAATATGTTTCTTACGTAACTTTTGTAGAATTAACTTTATACTTGACTCGTGTTTTTTTATTTAAATAAGATTGTTCTACAACAGCTGTTATCTTCATTCGATAAAACGAGTAAATGCTAAATATCACCTAACAATTTGTAACCCTAATTAAAGAGGAATGAACGAGCATTAGTTATGCTATCTTTGTTCGCTATAGACTCTAGGAGTTGCAGTGATTATGTCCTCAATAATGACGTCACAGTTCCCTGTTACCCCAATGGCGCAGTGCACCGTACCAATAGATTACGTCTCCGGTCCCCGGTGGCATGCCCAGGCCGTCCGTGTAGCCCGGGTATATGTGACACACACACGCGAGTCCCACCGTATACAGATACCAATGATTGAGATATCACTACCGTGTCCACCAAGCTTTATTAAGTAGTTACACTAGGAACTGCTCGTCACATTGCGTAGTTTCCAGTCCGTGAACAGATGGACACTGAAAGCAAATGTAATAATGTTTTTACAAGAGAATAAACATATTATACAAAGGAATATTGTAGGGCATGCTCAGTAAATAGGTAAACTGCAATCTATTGTTTTAAATTGCGTATTATTCTTCAACAGAGCTTAGCATCTGTAATTTTCTAGTATTACTAGACCATGGAACTAAGCACCTGTTTCATAATATCTGATTAAGCTGCCATTTCCCTCTTAACTCGTCGAGTACTGTCATTATAGACACAATTATAGAACAATAGGTTGCGGTCAACGGTGACCGCTTGGTGTTTGACAGTTTAATATAGCCATATTAGCATATAGCCAGGCGTTACTTAAGTTTAAAAGTGTTTAAAAACTATTCTCGCAAAATAATGTCTCAATAAGTTTGAAGAAATCATTTCTCAGGAAGGTGATATTGTAGCAACCCCAGCAACAGTCAGGAATCAAGTCTGTTTTGAAAGTGGAAAATCACCAAATCTCTTCTCCCGACCTAAAAGTATAAGACTCTTACTGACCAGAATCTATTCCAACAGCAGTACCGTACCTATGGTGCAGTCGTAGGCTATGCAGCAGTGCCTAGACTGCCTAGGTCATGGAATGTGCCTAATGTTACATTACCTGAATGTCAAGAGTACAGCAATGCAGATACACTATTTTATATTTGCGATACACCGACGAACTGTTCACGCTACCACTGTGACTGGATAACCCTGGGTATCGTGAGGGTTAAGCTGGGGGTTGATTTGAATAAAAGTACTTGGTCGTGGTTACCGAACACTTATATTCCGAATTATTGTACAATAAAAATTACGATACAATAGCACGTGACAGATTGATACCAACATAAAATAAATTCTTTCGACACTTATACTATTGGCGGAGAATCTTAACACCGCGATTCAGAAAACGATCTCAAATAAAAAGCACCATCTATGAATGAATGTTGGAACACTTGTTCTCTGAATCGCGGGTTTCTTATATGTCAATCGCTTGGCGGTTAGACATTCCGCCCACCAAGGACATTATACCATTATGTCCTTTTAAAGTTACAAAAAGTTACAACGAAATACATAAATAAGATTAACAATATGGCTTAAAGTTATCCTAAACTAATATAATTAGGCAACGGGCATGACACACAGTTTAGATGTGGGCCTTTTGAGCATAGAACCATTACTGCGAATTGTGACTACTCGTGTAAGATTGTCCAACCCCGGATGCTTTTCTACCACTCTGCCAAGCAGCCACCGACAGGGAGGTAAATTATCCTCTTTAATTAACACAACATCTCCTATGTTGGGTTCTGGATTTTGAGTTGACCATTTATAACGATGGAAAAGTGTAGTCAGATATTCGCTGGACCAGCGACGCCAAAAATGTTGCGTCATCTGTTGTACTAAATGCCACCTCTTTAAGCTAGAAATATTTGCATCTTCATAGTTACGATCTGGTGCGCTTATGATTGGTTCCCCCACAAGAAAATGCCCAGGTGTTAACGCATCAAACTTGTTCGAATCTGTTAACCGATACAACGGACGCGAGATTAAGCATGCTTCTACTTGACTTAATA